CCCCCCCCCCCCCCACCCCCAGGCCCCACCCCCACCCCACCCCTCCTCATTAAAAGCCATTCGAGTTAACGCCTCATCCAAATCAAAACCACAAAAAAAGTGGAAAAATGTTGACGCTTCCTTAATTTCTGAAGCAATAATTCACTCGCCTCTTTTGGTGAAAGCAATTCATCATTTTATGTACGTTTTTTTCCTGACGCCCAGGATTTCCCTCCTTCTCCTTCTCCCTCTCTTCGCTTCTCTCCCATTTTCTCGCTATTTTCCCAAATAGCAAGTTGGGAGATGGTGGGAGTTGGCGGGGCTAATGGAATTATGATGCGTAGTCACGCATTACCGAGATGGGACCACTTAGTTGTTGCTACCTAACCCCTCACCTCTTCCCCCCCCCACCCCCATCCCTCACCTACCCCCTCCATTATTAGCGCCATGTCACGATTCTCTATGTGAATTCTCTCTTAACTAGCTGGATTTAATTAAATGGCCTGCGCTACTATGTATGAACTCTTACCAAAATTTTACAACCTTCATTAGTAACAGAATTGAGTGTCTCTCTCTGCGTGTGTGTGTGTGTGTGGGCATCGTTTTGAAAGTTACTGCTGACGATTTGAATGTGACAAAAGCTCCTCACAATTCAGATACTGATTAAACATAATGCTAAGCATATTGTGACATGGATTGCTCTAAGTGAAATTTAAGTGTTTAACTTAATTTAGACTTTAAATAACTATACACTTTTCGAGCTAATTGGTGAGATAGGGCTTTAATGTTAAGTGGCATTCATCTCAGGATTTGATGGGAACTAATGCCCTACGACGCCATTAATTTCTGGGAAAATCCTTCAAGTGCCCATTTCCCCTCTCGACTAATTCTCACAAATGAGCTCAAATCATTAGAATAATTGCCATAATCGCTTAAGCCACGGTGCCCAGTTCGTGCGATTACATTTAACATTTCAGATAAGAAGCTTACGAAGACTATGTGCGTTGAAGGCGATGATTATTCTACATTAATTTTGTAGCCCACTAAGGGCATTTTTAAGAAGAAACTAGTTTTTTTATCGCCTGTTTTACTTTATAAATGTTTTATTCCGAGGCGAAACTTACTAACTGGCATGAATTTATTTTTTATTTATTTATTTAGATCAAAAGGTAAGCGCTTTGATAGTTATCATTAGCCCTTTAGGTGACTTCGGGGTTCATAGAGGGAAGGAACATCGAAGGGAAAAATGTCGAGAGGAGGGGGGGGGGACAGAAGAGTGTTTCAAAGATNGTAGTTGGTTGCTTCCCAATTTTTAGGGCCATATCACTTCTTAGCTTGGCCTCCGAAACTTCCCTAACCACACCCTCCCCTCCCCCCTGACCTTAACCCGATGGACTATCGTGCACATATTGAGGCGCTGTCGAGGAAGACGTCAACTACCATGCCGATACTACAAAAGCCGACCGATTAATGGACAGAACGAAAATAGTCATTGGAATCATTAACTGATGTCGGCTCGTGGGCCAGAATCAAGTTGAGGCAGTATTTCATGCTAACGTGGTCTATTTTTATCGAGACTCTTCTGCATCTATGTACTTTCCATGTCTATTGTATTTATTTATTTATTTCAAATGGCAGACGTTTTGATAGCTATCATTAGCCCTTTAATTGAGGGAAGGTTCATCAAAGTAGCAGAAAGTCGAGGGGTGGGGAACAGAAGAGCGATTCACAGATGTAAAAGAGGCAGACAGACTCAAAGGCAGGGAAAAGGGTAAGATGAGTACTATGGAAGCGGTCGAATATGACAAGCAGTCGTGCCATGGTATTTTGAAGTCAGAAGTCAACTGCCGGTTAATAGACTTTTTTGCCGAATGAGTATACGTTGCCCAGGGTGCACCACGTAGAGGTAAGTCTATCGCACACCCCTCCATGTCTATTGTAATTTCGGACGAAAGGATCTAACTGATTCTCAGTCATTCTTCAGCCCTAAAAGCATATAATCGATTATGTTGGTACTGATTTCATTATAACACCCGATTTTTCTCAAATTTATCTCAATTAGGAGAGCATGCAACAGCGAATCACAGAACTCATGACACATAGCTGTGAACTGGAACAAAAATTGACAGCATCCTCTCGAGAACTTGCCAAGGCCAATAATCAGGTATGTGTGATATTTTTGTGACTTGCTTCTCTTCTTGTGAGTAAATACAACGTCTATTGGCTAATATATTACAATATTAACGATAGGAATGAATACTTGGCACTTGGCCCCTTGCCTGAAAATAAGCATTACTTAGAAAGATTGCTGTTTCATTCGGGTGCAAATTACTACCAAACATGAATGCAACTGATAATATTGACTGGTTTCAAATATACTCAATAACTCATTTCACTTACGTTGCAAAGACAATTTGAATTTGAATGCTTTTTGTCGCCTCCTCAAATGATGATGGGCTTATGTGATAATATCAAGTACATTTATTTATTTCAAATGGCAGGCGTTTTGATAGTAATCATTAGCCCTATAGCTGACTTCGGGCTTCACATAGAAGAGGAGGAGGAGGAATACCAAAGTGACAAAAAGTCGAGAGGGGGGAACAGAAGAGTGTTTCAAAGATGTAAAAGAGACAGACACAAAGGTAAGGAAAAGAGGTGATGTGAGTACTGTGAAAGTGGTAGAATATGACATACTGTGGGGTGATGGTAGTTTGAAGTGAGAAGTCAATTGCCAGTTAATAGAATTTTTTGCCGTATGAGTATACGTTGCCCAGGGCGTACCAAGTGGAGGTAAGTCTATTGCACACCCCATGTCAAGTACATACATCAGAGTGTCTCACCTTACCGAAACATCAAGTCTTCATTAATATTTGTTAAATCTGGCAGGTCGAAACGGTGGAAGCCTCAAAACTATCCTAAATTCGGTCTATGGAGGCGACAAGTCGAACGGCCTATGGAAGCAATCGAGTTATTTTTGTTTCATTAATTCTAAAAATAAACCAGGTTTACCTTTCTTTCCCCGAATGCCGAATTCTCCAATCATTTTATAGCCAATAAAATACTAATTTCCACTTACTTAAAACTTGCAAATCAAAAGTGCCTTGAGAAAATTTTCTCTTTTGATTAGCCAAGCTTATTTTCAAGTCCAAGCTGCTCTCTCTATGGATGAGAAAGANGAATTTTTCTCACTTTGATGTTCCTCCTTCTCCTCCTATGTATGAAGCCCGAAGTCAGCTAAAGGGCTTATGATAACTAGAAAAACGCCTGCCATTTGAAATAAATAAATTCCCATTTCATTACAAGGTTTATCCCTTCAAAACAGGCTTATTTTATACGCACTAAATACTTAAGCAAGTGTTTCAGTCGTGATTTTTAGAAATAAAAATGATGTCAGAAAAGAGAACAGCTAAATTTGCATAATCGATTAGCTCTAAGGCCCTGAAAAAAAAATATATAACGACAAACAACTTGGCATAAACATGGACAGCATGGCAACGAAGGTCAAATAATGTCTACTGAGATAAACATTCAATTGCCATCGGCGTTAAAATTTAGGGCATAGAGATGATGATAATTTCCAAAAATTAGACTCTACCGTTCTTTACAACCATCTAAAGTATGCAAAGGTTAAACAATACTGCATAGGTATCGATGCATATATCACAACTCAAACAATTACATAATTGGCCTATTAATTAGATTGTGACCAGGTTTAAGACAAAATAGCTTACATTTCACCAAGATTGTCCCCTCTCGATTGATTATTTGGTAAAAGGGCTTTCTCGGATGATTGGTCAGACGCCATTTCATTGCTACGTTTCCCAGCCAACCACATTGCAGTATCAGTGGCGCCAATTTTGCGGAGATGATTGATAATACCAGACGACTCGACACCTCGAAAACCAACACTCTCGGATGCCACGCCTCCTGCAAAACTCTGGTTCATCAGCCAGGCCTTGACACAGGGCTTAGTGGGAATAGGCAGGTCTTCGTTCAATCCTTGAAAAGCACAATTGCCGAAGAACTTACAGACAGGATCACTAGCGACTGATTTGCAGATACTTTCAGAAACCTTAACGAAAAAAAACCAAATTTACAGACACAATTAACTTCTACCATGAGTGCACTGCTGATCAGAGTTGCCTAACTTGCCCATTGTTTACTTAAAAAATATAAGATTAAAAGCACAACCAGAGAAGCCTGAGATATGTAGCACAGCAATGTGTGAAAGTGAATGATAAGACCTTTTATATATTCAAGAAAAGCCATGTTAATCACGAGGTGCTTATAAAGCCAGGCAAGGATTATTAATAACCACACTTTGATATTTAGTAGTAAAGTCAGTCGAGGGTGGGGGGCATAATGTTAGTTTTGAAGAAATTTTATTAATCCGACAGAAAGAGGACATTTTCAAAATTACAAAAAAAGGACACATGCGACATTATTGTGCCTAAAAGAAAAAAATTCCTACTTTAAGTAGTAATTGGTACATGATTGTTCTTAAAATGTAAATTGGTTTGAAGGTGGAAGTTGCAAAGACATCACAGAGAGAGTACTGTCTAGCTACTCTTTCCAAGCAAGAAATTGAAGGCACCACGACAAATATATACATTTGAATTCTGGACAGTGAATTCTTATTCAAGTCAAATTCTCTGGACTTGGTATCAAACCCCTCATAAATGTGAATCAGAAAGTAATTATTCTCTCTGGCGTCTTCTGGATGTTTCCTAAGCAATTCACAAGCGCGATACAACTGTTATGGTAGTAATATGATCTGTGTCCCCAATCCGTCCTAGATGTCTCCCGCCCCCCACCCCCCGGCACATTTCGAAATTGACCTCCCTTTATACGAACTACACCTCCACGTGGTGCACTCTGGGCAACGTATACTCATACGGCAAAAAAGTCTATTAACTGGCAGTTGACTTCTCACTTCAAACTATCCTCACCCTACTCTATGTCATATTCGACTTCTTCTACAATTCTCACCTCACCTTCTTTTCTACCCTTGTGCCTGTCTCTTTTACATCTTTGAAACACTCTTCTGTTCCCCCTCCCCTCTCGACTTTCTTCACTTTGATGTGCCTTCCTCTCTGTGAAGCCTGAAGTCAACTAAAAGGCTAATGATAACCTTCAAGACGCCTGCCATTTGACATAATAAACTACACCGTCATATCCACCAATCGTCAATTCCCCTTCCTNATGTGCTATTGATCTGCCTTCAAACGATTCGGGGGCTTTAAAGGAAGGGGAATTGACGATTGGTGGATATGACGGTGTAGTTTATTATGTCAAATGGCAGGCGTCTTGAAGGTTATCATTAGCCTTTTAGTTGACTTCAGGCTTCACAGAGAGGAAGGCACATCAAAGTGAAGAAAGTCGAGAGGGGGGGGGGACAGAAGAGTGTTTCAAAGATGTAAAAGAGACAGACACAAAGGTAGAAAAAAGGTGAGATGAGTACTGTGAAAGAGGTCGAATATGACATACAGTGGGGTCATGGTAGTTTGAAGTCAGAAGTCAACTACGGATTGGTAAACATTTTTGCCGTATGAGTATACATTGTCCAGGGTGCACCACGTGGAGGTAAGTCTATCGCACAACCCAACTAGCAGAAATCTTGTGAAAGTGAATGGATTTTCACATATTTTTCGCGAAGAAAAGGTTCTTGCGCCTCCTGGAAATAATTTACTTCCAGCAAATAAATAAATAAATAAAGAATAAGAGTAGAATATTAAGGACAGGCTCAACTTTGCCATATACAAACTTTCATTCACGTTAACATTCATTTTTTGTGTAATAAGCACTTGACATAGCGTATTTTGCTCAAAAATGCAATAATCAGCGCGTACATTCTCATCCTCCAATTTCACCCTGAAAAGTGTTCACAACGGCTGATTTATTTATTTATTTAGAGAGAAGGTTGGCTGGTCCCGTTTTTATATGGAAAAATCATCTCTTCTCTCCTCCACCCTCATGTTGATCGTGGTCACCAACATCTAATGTGACCTTGGGTATATTAGGTGACTACTAAGCCACTGACCTCGATCTTTGAACCCATTTTATTGTGATAATGAAATAAACTGATTTGAAAAACAGTCAAACCAATCCCTCCTTTGCTCTTTCCTTTCTCTCAAGTACAGTTATAATCAAGACTGGAATTAACGTTCATTTAAGCGAAAATTGCCTTACTTCAGCGCTATTTTGGCTTGAGCATTAGGATAAGAATACTTTATTTAAAATTTAAACTGTATTAATAATTTATGCTGAAATTCCATAGATACCTCAACAACCGTTCTCTCGCATTAAGGTCCTCGTATCTACTTGATAGTAAATCTTACTGCACTTCAGTGCTGTGTTTTCATTGAGATAAAGGGAGTTTTGAAGTTATTAGCGGGTCGATGCTCATTTTTAATCCACAATTAGTTGTTCAGCAACTTCTACATTTGCAAAAGCGGGGTGTACGATAGACTTACCTCCACGTGGCGCACCCTGGACAACGAATACTCATACGGCAAAAAAGTCTATTAACTGGCAGTTGACTTCTGACTTCAAACTACCATGACCCCACTGTATGTC